CCTTTTGGCAAAAACAGAATAATCATTGAACCTGTAGGGCTTCAAAGGAAGGTTTCCTTCAGCTCTTGCAGCTCATCCTAGATTACATGAATTGTTTTCAGCTATGTACCATGTTCCTTTTCGTGGCTTTGGAGAGGCTTTCGTGGAGTGGCCTCGCAGATGTAGGTAGGAGGATTATGATTTTATTTTTCCGCCCAACTTGTTATTTTCATGGATCGAGTTAAGTCGACGATAATTTCCTATTTATTCAAAGATAAGAGCAGGTTTTAAACTTTTAGCTCCACTTAAATGATGGCAACTGTTTGCAAAAGATTATCAATCTATTTTTAACAATCATACTGTTTTTCGTCACCTAATATGACTCTAACATCTCAATCTAATCTCTGATGTTAACGATTACTTTTATTAAAAAATAACAAAAAGTTTCGAAAGCAAGGCCCTTCGCTCAAATAAAAAAATATCTTCATTTTCCTTTCCCTTTCTAATCGGTTTTTGTCAAATTATGGTTGAATGACTGGATTTGAAAATCGGTGCACCAGCCTTTTTACATTAAGCCTTCCTTTCTCGCAGTGGAGCGCGCCGTCAAGTGATTGCGAAACTTTTGTTTTATTTATGAAGAAGCCATATAATAGTATGGCTCATAAAGTCGGTGCGCCAAATGTCCCTTATTGCAATGTGGACTTTTAATCGTTATTGTCTGGCTGTCAACTAAAATCGAAACGTTTCTATTTGTAAAGACTCCATACAAGAAACCCGAAATTATTTGCGATTCTCAGAAATCAATAATTGATAGTTATTCGGTCTTGTGAATTTTAAATAGTTCCATGCATAACAAAGGAGTTTGAAGAGCCAGTTGCAAACAAGGCTCTCCTAAATCACGTGATCAGCACACCGAGAGCAAAGACAGCAAAGATTTGTGAAATACATTGTTTCATTGAAATCAAATGTGAATCATACAACTTTGGTCCGAATGAGGATGGTGACTACTTGTGTGAGCTAAGTGATTCTGATGATGTTAGAG